CCATACAGAAAATACAAATAAAAAGGTGCGCTGTACCTTTAAAAATTAAAAGTGCAAATAGTGCATTGAAATAGTGCAAAAAAGGAGTGTATACACAATATAAACACACTCAATATAACATATGTGCAAAATTGCAAGTGAATAGTGGAAAAATAATATCAAAATAATAACTTACAGAAAAAATATATATCTCCTTTGCTGCTCCGAATCAAGTTAGAACATATATAAAGAAAGGTACAAAAAGGAGAAACATAGTATAATATTGTTTGAGAAATAAGTATTAAAACCAACAATATTAAAATTGGAATATCACTCACAAATGAAGAGCAGTAGAAGCCTGGAAGTAGAAGACCCAATAATTACAATTATGAACAAAATGGATATAATAGGAGGAGAATAGACAGTTTTGATACCCCCACAACGGACAACCCTAAGTGGAGAACTCCAGAAGTAAATAAGGGTAATGAATGGAAGAAATTGGAACCTCTGAACAGGTATTATAATAGATCTGAAAGAAATAGAAGCCCCCTACACAAAAATAGAGATCTGGCATTATCAAATAGATATGATGTTCTGTCACGAGATCAACCAGACTCTAGACAGAGTGATTTTTTAGGGAAGATGAGAGGAAAGGTTTCCTTCTCCCCCCCTAAAAAGAAGGAGGGACAGAGAGGATGTAGAGGAGGAACAAGGTTACAACAGTGGGAAAAAAAGGAAGAACGTCCAATTGGAGGGAGTAATCAATCTGTCCAACTTCGTTCCGAACAATGATGAAATTAGAACTTTGAATAAAGGTCTGAAATTTGCCCCAAGTAGAAATTTTAACTCGTTCTCAGCATACATAGATATACTGAAATACTCTAGAACACTTACTTTAAAAAGATTTTTTGAAATTAATAAATATACGGACATTAGGAAAGTGATAACCATACCGATCTATAGAATAAATCAAATTTCTATTCAAGAAATTATCGAACAAGTGCCATAGAGATTTTTGAAAAATCTGTCATTGAGGATTTCGATAAATTAGGGAAATGCAATCGAAAACTTGAATCTAAGTTTTAACGAATATAAAGCCTTACAAAGTTTTAGAAATAACAGAGAAATAATAATAAAGCCCGCTGATAAGGGGGGCAGTATTGTGATTCAGGATACTACTAATTATTTGAAAGAATGTCACAGACAATTGGAGGATAAAAAGATATATAGGGTATTAGAAAAGGACCTGACTATAGATATAAAAACGTAATTGGAAACCTTGCTAAAAAGAGGTAAAGAAGAAGGTATTTTAAATGAAAATGAGTATAAGTTTTTATTAGTTTAATTTCTTAGAGTGCCTGTATTTTAGACTTTCCCCAAGGTGCATAAAAATTTAGAGAACCCTCATGGCAGGCCAATTGTGTCCTGTATATATCTATTTCAGCTAATCTTTCCAAATACGTGGACATTTGGTTACAAAATTTAGTTAGAGAAATGCCATCATACCTTAAGGACACTACAGATGTAATAAAAATTATAAAAAACATCAAATGGGAGAATGGATACTTTTTAGTAACCTCAGATGTAACGGCACTCTACACCTCCATCTCCCATGAGAAGGGATGTAAAATGATTCAGGAAGGTTTGGAAAAATCGGGTAATTTTAGCAATAAAAAAGAGAACAAGGAACACAACGTTCCAAGTCCCTGTATAGCCGCCGCACCCACCACCTCAAAACCTCCCCAAAAGGGGGGCAGTGGCTGCAGGGGTCACGCAGAGACCAACGTACCAGTATGAGACTCCAGCTGTCTCAGAGGGGCTTAACCCCAAATATAAACACAAGAACAGAGAAATATGCAGACCGTCTCAATTATATGAATGAAACTTACTGCATTGACTGGAAAAAATATATCTATGTATAGCGCGATGTTCCAAATATAGAACCTGGCTATTAGAAATAATATGGTCAGAGACCCTAATTAAACAAAGTATATACAAATGAACCTACAATCCTATGCCAGCCCAGGGTGGTATAGATCAAGAGGTAGTAAAAAAGATAACCTCACTCCCCCTTATAATTAAGCTTTATTGTGATCTGCTATAGGGATAGGAGTATACAGTAGCTAAGTCTCTATAATCCATGCATCCTAGGAAGTATCCTGGTCACACTAGAAACATATTAAGAAAAACAGAGAGAGATAAGGACTGAAAATAGAAGTAAAAAAATCAGTCAAAAACAGACTGATAATTAGCATTAATAAAGCCTCTCTCCCTGTAAAGCTAGCTAGATAGGCATAGGAAAGAAAAGAAGAAAACGATATAAAATAAAGTTAAATTAGATGGTGATCATGGTGCTCCAAACACCAGAGCCCAGTGCAGAAAAAACGCCCTTAGATGGATTTTAGAAAATAATTATTTTAATTTTAACTCTAGATTTTATCTACAATTACAAGGTAGTACTATGGGGACCAGGTTCGCTTCTAGTTACGCTAATTTATTTATGTTAGGCTGGGAAACGGAAGTTATTTACAGCAGCCATAACTGGGGGACGAACCTGGTCTCCTACCATAGATATATCGATGATATATTTTTTATATGGAAAGGTACACAAATGGATTTAGAGCTTTTTTAAAGAAGGTATTAACCTAAATGAGTGGGGCCTAAATTTTAGCAGTTCTTTTAGTAGTCAGAATATTAATTTTTTAGATTAAGAAATCTATGAAGATGCCGGTATTTTAAAAACAAAAAAGTAGATGCCAACAGTTATGTTTTATATAACAGTGGGCACTACACCCCATGGTTAAATAATATTCCAAAAGGCCAATTGCAAAGAATAAGAAGGAACTGCACCGAACAGCATGTTTTCGAGGAACAAGCAAAAATAGTGATAGATAAATTTTCCCCAAAACAATATCCCACTGATATATTAAATAGGGCGTATGATGAAATAAAAGAATTTGATCAAACAAATTCTAAACAAAGTAATTATAATGGTGGACAAGAAAAACTTGATAAGGTACCTTTAGTTTTAGATTTCAGTCAGGATTTTAAGAAAGTTAAATCAATTATTAACAGACACTGGCACCATACTTCTTTTTCCTCCCTCATAGTAGGTGTTCTTTTTTTTATAGATATATATATATATATATATATATATATGAAACAAGGGGGGGTTGGCTGCACTCACCTGAACATGCATAAATGGGGGTGCTGCTGGGGGCCAAATAATACAAAACACAAGATCCAGCGCACTCACCTATCCACTAAACAGCAACTTCAATGTTGAAAGATTTTATTAGTTTTTTAAAAACACCTAATCTAGCAAAAATAATGGGGGTTTAGTTACATTATATGATCATACATTTGCATAAGCCTGCCACAACGTCAATGCTTATACAATGTATGATCATATAATGTAACTAAACCCCCATTAGTGCCTAGATTATTATTTTTTTTAAAAATCTAAAAACTTTCAACACTGCTGCTGTTGCAATATAGCTAACAGCCCCCAACTTTCAAACAATCCTTACATATTTATATATTTGGGAGTCTAGCCAACTCCTTGGCTTTGCACCCCCCCCTGTCACAGGTGCCTCATCCCAGGGCCCTATTTAGCCTTGTACTGCAGAGAGCCCCAGATGGAATTTTTTTCCTCAAGTAAGTGGTTAATCTCATAAGAGCAGACATTAGGCTGTGAGTGTAGGACCTGCCAAAGATGGGGTGCATTGACGTTGTGGCAGGCTTATGCAATGTATGATCATATAATGTAACTAAACTCCCATTATTTTTGCCTAGATTAGGTGTTTTTAAAAAAAACTAATAAAATCTTTCAACATTGAAGTTGCTGTTTAGTGGATAGGTGAGTGCGCTGGATCTTGTGTGTTGTGTTTATATATATATATATATAATATATATATATTTTATATATCTCTTGTCTGTTATTTTCTCTTATCAAGATGTCTCTGAGGAAATATATATGTAATATATCTGTTATTTTATTACTGTTTTGAATATGCTGTATGGACATTTAAGTAAAAGATGTTTCTGAGGAAGTGGATTAGCTTATGCTACTTTTAATCTATTGTTGTATGTTTTATGGGACTTGTAACGGCTACCCAGGTAGTAAGGGGGTATCAGCCGTTGGAGACGTCCTTTTCCTGGCAAGCTGCTGTGTAGTAATGGAGTTCTTAATCCCATCCACGAAATCCAAGGGTAGAGTCAGGCATATTGTAAACTGGAGCAGAGTAACGGTACAATAAATCCCCTTTCAAGAACGAGACGAGGCTACGTTTTGAAGGGTCAAGTAGAACTGAGGTTTATTGACAGGGGTCTCCTTTTATGCAATGCTGCCCTGGAAAGGGCTACACCTTCATAATTATCACAATACCCAATCACATACATGGTACAACCCCCACGTCTCCTCCCCTCAGATAAACCTTTAACATAATTATAACACACACAATTTTACCCAAGTTCTGGATGTACCCCAAAACCAGGGGGTACACCCTTAAATCCAGTATCCCCAGATAGCCCTTGTTCAGGGGAACAACATATCAAAAATCCAGCCCATTCGGTTAAAGCGTTCGGGAGTTATGGGTCTTTGAAGTTTTGACCGACCGCACAGCCTTTCTAGCCGAAAATAGTTCCACAAGTTTTGGCCTTGCGGTCGGTCCCCGTTCGTGCATTAAAAACCCACGAAAATCTTGCCATCCACAATTGTCTTGACGTTCGCCAGAATCCCCATGCATAGTTTAATCTTTCTTCCGAACGGCCGGACGTTCGGTAGTTTCAGCACGAATCCACGTTGTCATGGAAGTCTCAGCGGTGTTCGCCTGTTTGCGTATCTGTTTTTAGTTCCACACGATTGATGGCAAAACACCGCTGTTCGTGTGTAAGATGGCCGCGAACACGTGCAAAGTCACGAAATGGCGGCCACCTATACTTTACACAAAGGATTCGTGCTGAACCATGCGAACGGCTGTGCTGGTCTGGGAGGTAAAGTATCACTTAACTTTACTTCAGGGTGGTCCGGTGTTCGGTAGTTTGGATTCGTTTTCTTGGGCAATAGTGGTTGGCATTAACAGGCAAGTCAGTTCATTTGTACATCCATGGTATGCAATTGTTAAAGAAATCCAGGCGTAGATTGTAGTCCTGTTACAATAGACATTTAGTAGATTTACCCCTTCTTGTGAATAAGACTATGGGAAGCCATTTAAATAATTGATGAACACCACGCCCATAGTATGAGCTTTAAAAGGCAGGACCAGCTACACCAGGACGTGATCTGAGGAAGCCGATTGGGCGAAACGCGTCATCGCGTCAATTACGCCATCACGCCATCACATGATCGGACTGAACTCCGAGTTCCAGGAAGTGTAACCTGCAGTGCCGAAAATTGCTAAAGACTGGTAGATATCTTTTACACAGCACTGACATATGGTTATTAGACTTACAGTTGCAAGAAAAAGTATGTGAACCCTTCCTGGGTTCTGGGTTGTGGACTATGAGCTGGATAAGTTAGAGCAGGCTTCTACTGCTCTTCCTTTGTGAGTGATATTCCAATTTTAATATTGTTGGTTTTAATACTTATTTATCAAACAATATTATACTATGTTTCTCCTTTTTGTACCTTTCTTTATATATGTTCTAACTTGATTCGGAGCATCAAAGGAGATATATATTTTTTCTGTAAGTTATTATTTTGATATTATTTTTCCACTATTCATTTGCAATTTTGCACATATGTTATATTGAGTGTGTTTATATTGTGTATACACTCCTTTTTTGCACTATTTCAATGCACTATTTGCACTTTTATTTGTATGTTCAGTAAATGCCATTAACCATATTTTTATGTGCGGATGAATACGTGACACAGTGCATCTTTCAGGGAGAAGCGACAGCTGGTATTTCTCCCCAACTACAGGCGGACAACACCCCTTACCCCAATGGTACAGATAGGACCTGTGCCGTATCTACAGGGATGCTGTAGATCCAGATCCCCAACTAAACCCGCAGGGGTACCAGGAGGAGGAGGTAAGCGCTTTCTCCCCTCCCCAGCCAATTCCCAGCAGGTCCTTGGGGTTAGTGGATGGGTCTACCATACCCACTGACCCCCTTACAGTAGAAGAGCTGGCATCAGGGCAGAGCGCTGCTGGCCCTTGCCCTACCTGCCCCCTTGTTACAGGGCAGGACTATGTACAGCAGAAGCGCTGGCACTAGGGCAGAGCGCAGTTAGCCTCTGCCCTGCCCTTTCCCCTTGTCTAGGGCCAGACTACCTGCAGGCCACCCCAGCAGAAGCGCTGGCAACCAGGCAGAGTGCTGCTAGCTTCTGCCTTACCTGCCCCATTGTTACAGGACAAAACTATATACCCGTCACCCCAGCAAAAGGTGCGCTGTACCTTTAAAAATTAAAAGTGCAAATAGTGCATTGAAATAGTGCAAAAGAGGAGTGTATACACAATATAAACACACTCAATATAACATGTGCAAAATTGCAAGTGAATAGTGGAAAAATAATATCAAAATAATAACTTACAGAAAAAAAATATATCTCCTTTGCTGCTCCGAATCAAGTTAGAACATATATAAAGAAAGGTACAAAAAGGAGAAACATAGTATAATATTGTTTGAGAAATAAGTATTAAAACCAACAATATTAAAATTGGAATATCACTCACAAATGAAGAGCAGTAGAAGCCTGGAAGTAGAAGACCCAATAATTACAATTATAAACAAAATGGATATAATAGGAGGAGAATAGACAGTTTTGATACCCCCACAACGGACAACCCTAAGTGGAGAACTCCAGAAGTAAATAAGGGTAATGAATGGAAGAAATTGGAACCTCTGAACAGGTATTATAATAGATCTGAAAGAAATAGAAGCCCCCTACACAAAAATAGAGATCTGGCATTATCAAATAGATATGATGTTCTGTCACGAGATCAACCAGACTCTAGACAGAGTGTTTTTTTAGGGAAGATGAGAGGAAAGGTTTCCTTCTCCCCCTCTAAAAAGAAGGAGGGACAGAGAGGATGTAGAGGAGGAACAAGGTTACAACAGTGGGAAAAAAAGGAAGAACGTCCAATTGGAGGGAGTAATCAATCTGTCCAACTTCGTTCCGAAAAATGATGAAATTAGAACTTTGAATCAAGGTCTGAAATTTGCCCCAAGTAGAAATTTTAACTCGTTCTCCGCATACATAGATATACTGAAATACTCTAGAACACTTACTTTAAAAAGATTTTTTGAAATTAATAAATATACGGACATTAGGAAAGTGATAACCATACCGATCTATAGAATAAATCAAATTTCTTTTCAAGAAATTATCGAACAAGTGCCATAGAGATTTTTGAAAAATCTGTCATTGAGGATTTCGATAAATTAGGGAAATGCAATCGAAAACTTGAATCTAAGTTTTAACGAATATAAAGCCTTACAAAGTTTTAGAAATAACAGAGAAATAATAATAAAGCCCGCTGATAAGGGGGGCAGTATTGTGATTCAGGATACTACTAATTATTTGAAAGAATGTCACAGACAATTGGAGGAGAAAAAGATATATAGGGTATATTGTTTGATACCCCTAGTGTCTTTAAGAGAAACCGCCGTTTAGTTAACCTTCCCCTTTCGCAATATAAATAACTCCGTTCGCATAGGCTGCAGTATATGAACCACCATCAGGGGAAGCGGTAATCTCCCGACCGGGATCCGTGAAAGGCTCCAAACTCCCGAACGGACATTCACGAACTGCTGCTAGCCGCTGAACAACGATATCCACCAAGCGGCTTTCGGTTCCAATCAGCAGTCTCTAAGCGCAAAGAAGAAATCCCCCCAATAACGAGACAGAAGCTCCGCATTGAGGGTCAAACAGGATCTGGCTTTACTGTGGGCTACCTGCCCGTATTTATGCAGGTCTCCCACTTGGTGGACACTCCCCTAGGGGACCAAATGGGAGACTGAAATGACAGATAGACAGGGGGACATTTCAGACATACAGTTACAGGTTTTTCCCACAATGCAATATTATCTCCAGGACAAAGACAAATCGCCATCTTAGATACAAAACCAGAAAACACATAAAAATACATAATTTGAAGATAACTGAACATTTCTTATTCACATCACATATCCCCAGATAGCCTGGATCTGAGTGCATTTAATTGGCGAATAGCGCTCAGATCCCACACACATAGTTCAATCGCCATGGAGTAAAAGTTCTTACAGTCTTTCGGTATGCGATTGAATCCATGGGAAGGCTATCTGGGTTAAGTCTTTTCATGTGCTGTAAAACTCACGAACGGCCGGTGTTCATAAGTTTTCGTGGAGGCAGCCAGGCGTCCCGTTGTTTCAGCGGTGTTCGGCAGAAAAAGTGTCAGTTTTTAGTTCCATGAAAATAGAGCTGAACACCGCTGGGCTTTCGTGTGTTTTAAAATGGCCGCTGCCTCGTGATCGACATACGAACGACGGCCACCCTGAATTCGGTTTAATTGAGAAGTGTCTGCGGTTAACCACAACGTTCTAATTGGGATCAATAGGTTAACCAGCAGCACACTTCTCTCCTGGGTGGCCATCCGTTCGGTAGCTTTGTTCGGTGAAAAACAGTCATTCGTATGGCTGGGCTATAGGAAACAGCCATTTACACGAAAGGGGGCAGAAATAGTCGAATCCACCACAATAGACAGATAGATGGTTCTGTCACATACTGGACCAATAATGTCAGAGGACTGAACTCCCCAGAGCGGAGGGTACACCTCCTCCGGAGGCTATGGTCGGAGAGGGTAAGCATAGCGTTCCTGCAGGAGACGCACTTCAAGGGCGTAGGGGCACCAAAACTAGGGAATAGTCGTTTCCCCCTGGCTTTCTACTCAAACCACCCAGACTTGAAGAAAGCAGGTGTTGCGATACTTTTCTCCCACACAGTCCCGTTCCTCTGCACAGTACAGCTATCAGACCCATGTGGGAGGTTTCTGTTCCTCAAAGGCACCATAGCCGACCATACCTATACTTTTGCGTCCCTTTACAGCCCCAACAAAAAACAACATACATTCCTGGGCAAAACAATGGCCAAGCTAGAAACATTCAGAGAGGGACTACTCATTGTGGCTGGGATCTTAACTTACCCCTAGACCCAAGCCTGGACTCCTCAAGAGGCACCAGCGTGATCCCCATGCATTGTATCCGATCAACACTCCGATCGTTAAGCCAACTTGGCATGGTAGATTGCTGGAGGGCAGATGACCCAGACAACCGGGACTACACCTTTTATTCGGCTGTACACAAACTCTACAGCCGCATAGACTATATCTTCAAAGCTCAGGAATACCTGACAATCCTACGGGACTCAAACATCGGACTTATTGACCACACAGACCATGCCCCGGTGTCTGTAAATAGTTCCACACTCTGTAAACCCGGTGAACGCCACTGGAAACTAAACGAAAGCCTGTTGAATGACGTAGGGTTCACAGACAAAGCCGCCCAAACACTCCGACAATTCTTTGACACAAACGACATAACCGACATGAACTCACTGACTCTATGGGAAGCTCATAAATGTGTCATACGGGGACACTTTATCGCTGAATGCACCCAACGCAAAAGGGACAGGACACAACACATGACCGAACTGACAAAATGCATATCTAAACTGGAACAGGACCACAAACCTACAACTCGCGGAGGCACGTAGAGAGCTCAGTGGAATCCTTTCCAAAGGGCTCTATCTCACCTTCAGGAAGTCAGCCAGATTCTACTACGAACACTCTAACAAAAGTGGTCGCTTGCTTGCCCGAATGCTGAAGGACAAAAGGAGGAGGCAGCACATCCATTAGATTCGGACCAGGGGACAAGACATCACTAGGCTCCCGGAGGGCATCCAAGACGTCTTTCGCGAATATTACTCGACCGACTTATTCGACCAAACACAAGATAGAAGTGCAGCAGCCCGACACTTACTACGCATCATGGACTACCTGGACCGACACGTAGCCCGCACAATACCCACGGAGTCAGCGACCAAACTGGAACAACCCCTGATGCTTGAGGAACCAGCAGCAGCCCTGAAACAGTCCAAACCCCACAAGGCCCCAGGCCCCGACGGCCTCCCACTAACATACATAACCACCTTTAAAGACATTCTGCTGTGGAGAATCCTCACAGGCCTCAACTCGATAAGCACAGGCGGACGGTTCGCTTCCGACACTCTCACTGCGACTGTGACGG